TATAAAATTTTATTACTAAATTATTATATTTTTATTTTATTAAATAAAAAACTAAATCTACTAAAAATCAATCGAGATAGTAATAGAATATTAGTTAAATTACATTGACCCTAACTGTGGTTATAACCACACCTGTTGATAAGACTACATTGTTTTTATGCATATATATAAACACAATGTATTACCACTCTTTTTGTCTCAAAATATTAAACACATTTTTAATTTAAAATTTATCTTAAAGTAATAGTTTTTTTATTTTTTAAAAAAGATAAATATATTTTATTTACCTTAACTTTTTTTATTATATATTAACTTTAATTATTCATCTTATAATAAACATGTCTTTTTCTGTTTATTTATTTTTTAAGAATAACAGAGGTAAGAGTAGAAATTGTCTTCGAATCTTTAATCTAAAAATAAAATCTATAATCTATTATTTTGGGATAAAGAAAATTATCTTTATAATCAAAATTGTTTTTCTTAATATGGTACCATGATATCATCCTTCAAGCCAAAACAAAATAAAAATAATTTTAATTTGGCTGTATATTTTTTTAAAAATAATTACTTGTTTTTTCTATTTGAAAATTGCTATTATCCAATGTCAAATACTTTTTTTTCTACAAAGAGAGTTTTTTTTTCGCTTTTATATATGTAGTAGTGTGTTATTTGATTTAAGGTATTTTTTACATTTGATAAATAGATTATATAACAAGTGATATTTAAATTATTTTAATGTTTGAATTTAAGAACTTTAATGTAGAGTTAGGTTTAGTTGGGAAAAATATTGTTTAAAAAAATATATTTATCTACCTTTCGAAAGACAATTTATTTGAGAGAAATTTATGGTAAAAAAATTATTACTATTGTTCTTAAATAGAGAGAGAATAAGCTTAGATGATATTTGAAGATGCTTACAAAAATTTGACTGACTTGATATTTTTTAACTTAAAATTTTTTATTTAGAATAAAAATTAGGGGAATATGTTTATTTGCCATACATGTAAAAAATTAGACAGAAAATTACTTCTAAAAAATTAGGTAAGATAATATTGTTTTAAAATTACTTTATTTTAATTAATTCTTATTTAAAAAGATTAAAATATCATAATTTTTAAGACAAAAATAAGACTATTTTAGTATTTTCATTTTAGAATAATATTCTATATACCCTCGGTTCAACAAATTTTTTGATACATTCCAGTTCAAAAATTAGACAGAAAATTACTTCTAAAAAATTAG